CCTCTGTAGAGGTGATAGGTTCGTGCTGACGTGACAAAGCGTCTGCCCTAGTGTTCTTATAACCAGGCCTGTAAGTAAGCATATAATTAAAGTGTGTAAGGAACATAGACCAACGTGCCTGCCTGGCAGATAATCTTTTGGCCTCCCCCATATACGATAAATTTTTGTGGTCAGTCAAGATAGTAACTGGGAGGACAGTGCCCTCTAACAAATGTCTCCATTCCTTTAATGCCATAATGATAGCTAGAAGTTCTCTATCACCAATGTCATATCTCCTTTCAGTGTGTGATAGTTTCTTGAAAAAAAAACCGCAAGGGTGCAGCGGCTTATCTAAACTTTGTCTTTGGGACAACACTGCGCCTATCCCTGTTTCAGACGCATCAACTTCAAGTAAAAAGGGTAGAGAGGTATCAGGATGAACTAATACAGGTGCTGAGGCAAAAGACTGTTTGAGCGTTTCGAAAGCAGATAAAGCCTCAGTAGACCAGGTTTTGGTGGTCGGCTCCTTGTTTGGTCATATTAGTGATAGGAGCGATAACAGAGGAGTACCCTTTAATAAAACGTCTGTAATAATTAGAAAATCCAAGAAATCTTTGTATGGCTTTGAGTCCCTTAGGTAAAGGCCAATCTAAAATCGATGTTAGTTTGGTCGGGTCCATCATAAACCCGTCTTTGGAAATTACGTAACCTAAGAAAGTTACCTGAGACTGGTCAAAGCTACATTTTTCCAATTTACAATACAATCCATGCTGTAAAAGTTTCTGTAATACCTTTCTGACTTGTCTATGATGTGAATTAATGTCTCTAGAATGGATTAGTATATCATCCAAATATACAATTACACATTCATGTTGGAATTCTCTAAGAACTTCATTGATCAAGTTTTGGAAGACGGCCGGGGCGTTACAAAGCCCAAACGGCATTACGGTATACTCATAATGCCCGTAACGGGTATTAAATGCTGTCATCCATTCATCTCCTTGTTTAATTCGCACTAAGTTATATGCTCCTCTCAAGTCAAGTTTGGTAAAAATACTCAAGCCCTTTAGTCTGTCAAAGAGTTCAGTAATCAAAGGAATAGGGTAAGCATTCCTGATAGTAATTTTGTTCAATCCCCGATAGTCTATACAAGGACGTAAGGTACCGTCTTTCTTTTCTACAAAAAAGAAACCCGCCCCCGCCAGAGAAGAAGACTTTCTAATAAATCCTTTGTCTAAATTCTCCTTGATGTATTCCTCTAAAACTAAGTTTTCCTTGGTGGATAGAGGGTATACCGTACCCCTGGGAGGCATAGTACCAGGGAAAAGTTTAATAGAACAGTCATAAGACCGGTGGGGAGGTAAAGTATCCGCTTTACCCTTGTCAAATACAGATTTGAGGTCTAGATATTGTAATGGTATCTGAACGTCTGTGGATTGAGAAGTGTTAGCATAAGAGTTTACGGGGCAAACAGAAGTAACTCTCTGCAGACATTCTTCCCTACAACCCATACCCCAAGAAACGATTTCTCCACCCTCCCAGTCAATCTGAGGGTTGTGTCTCTTGAGCCAAGAATATCCTAGTACTACTGGGACTGCCGGGGAAGAAATTAACAGAAGGGAAATCAACTCCTCGTGGAAAATACCAACAGTAAGCTTAACGGGTTCGGTCTCATGGAATATTACTGGTTCAGATAAAGGTCTACTATCTATGGCCTCAACGGCCAAGGGTGTATCTCTCAATTGGAATGGGATACAATGCTTATTAGCGAAAGTTTGGTCTATAAAGCTTTCTGCTGCTCCAGAATCTAATAATGCCATCGTAGAAATAAACCCCTTTTCCCAAGCTAGAATAAACCCCTTTTCCCAAGCTAGAGAGACAGGAATCAGAAGTCTATGGTCTTTTTTATTATGCATAGAGGACAGTAATGAAACACCCAAGGCCCGTCCTCTAAGGGAACTTAGGTGCGAGCGTTTCCCGGACGATTAGGGCAACTAAGACGTAGGTGACCTCTCCGCCCGCAGTATAAACAGAGACCCTCCCTTCTTCTGTACTGTCTCTCAACCTCAGATAAGCGAGTATTACCTATTTGCATAGGTTCTGGTGGAGTAGGATTATAGGAGTCAGGGTTCTGAAATGAGGGAGCAAGTCTTACAGGAAGTCTAGTAACTCTTTCCCGAGTGTTCTGCCTCTGTCTCATGCGTTCATCTATTCTGGAAATGAAGGATACTAAATCCTCTAAATTTTCCGGAAGTTCTCTTGTGGCAATTTCATCTAGAATTTCATCAGACAACCCATTCAAGAATACATCCATAAAAGCTTGTTCGTTCCATTTCACTTCTGCTGCCAATGATCTAAACTCTAGAGCATATTCTACAAGGGTCCTATTCTGTTGTTTAAGGTGTAACAGGGATCTGGCCGCATTAATCTTCCTTCCTGGGGGGTCAAAGGTTCTTCTAAAAGCCGTGACAAAAGCAGTGTAGTTGTAGACTAAAGGATTGTCATTCTCCCAAAGGGGATTGGCCCATCTAAGTGCTTTATCTATTAGCAGGGTTATAATAAACAGAAGTAACTCTCTGCAGACATTCTTTCCTACAACCCATACCCCAAGAAACGATTTCTCCACCCTCCCAGTCAATCTGAGGGTTGTGTCTCTTGAGCCCTGTCAGTGGGGTAAGCCCGGGGTTGAAGTTAGAAATGTATGCTTATCTGGTTTAAAAAACCACGACAAGCATCAGGCGAACCCCCATATCGTAACGGTGAAGTGACATGGGAAGATGCGCCTACAGTGGCTACTTCCAAACCAGTACTTAGCGAGTGGCTAGCAGTGGAACGTATTTCTTCAGACTGGGTGCTGGAGCGTGTTAACAAAGTTTGTAATGCAAAAGCCATTTGGTCCATTCTATGGTCCATGGCCTCAAATCTGGGGTCAGGAGGACTAGCACCTGCAGGATCCATCTGGCCCTGTCGTAATGTCAGGATACTGACAGGGATCCAATACGCAGAGTGCGGACAGAAGGAGGTACGTATACC